CTCTTGCCTGACCCCGGAAGGCCCGTCTGAATTGGAGAGCTCCAGGGGCACATGATTGAGGTCTGCAGGTGAGAATTTTCAGTCCCAGATCAGGGACAAGCCCCCTGTTCACAGAGCCCAGGAGAGGGACAGCCAGCTGAGGAGCAGGCAGGAAGTGGGGGCCTGACTCCCCATCAAAGGCAGGAGAGGGCTGCAGTGGAGTTGACTCAGGGCTGTCCACAGGGCCTGGAAGTGCCAGTAAAGACTCTGGGTTTTGGTTTTTTTTTGTTTGGTTGGTTTTATTTTGCTTTTAGGGTCAGACCTGGCAATGTACAGGGGTTACTCCTGCTCATGAACTCAGGAATTACTCCTGGCAGTGCTCAGGGGACCCTATGGGATGCTGGGAATCGAACCCGGCTTGGCCGCGTGCAAGGCAAACTCCCTACCTACTGTGCTATTGCTCCAGCCCCATTCTGGGTTTTGTTTCAATGGGGTCTTGTTGGAGCTCTAACCCGGCCTTTCACTTGGAGTTCTGGAAAGATCCCAGTGGCTGTTGAGGAAAGTATACCCCTCTGGAGGGCCACGGAGGCACCTGGGCAGCCCCATCTCTGGGCACAGGCTGAAGGTGGCTTGGCCCTAAGCTGTGGCTATGGGGATGGAGGAAAGTGACTCAGCCTAGTCCTGTCGGGGGCCTGCTGGGTATCTCAAACTTGTTTTGGTTTCTGGTTTGTTTTGGTGGCGGTGGGGGTCGTGCTTGGAACACATCTGGCTACTCCTGACTCTGTGCGCAGGGCAACTTCTGGGATCACTCAGGGTACCCTTCAGTGCTGGGGACTGAACCTGGGCCTACCTCATACAAAGCGTATGCTCCTCTGAGCTACCTCTTTGGCCCCAGTTCATTTTGAGTGAGCGGCACAAATACAGGCCAAGGGATTGCTGTGTCGGCTGGGCCAGGAGATGGGCTCGTGGCAGCCACCCCGGTGAGGAAGCTGCACTGTGCCTGGGAAGAGCAATACGGCTGGGAGCAGAGCTTTAGAGAGCATCAGATGCTGAGAGGTTCCTAGGCCCCAGGCATGCCACATCCCCCCTCCAAGGCCTGCAAGGCGCTTGTGGCCCGTGGGGACCTTCTGGTGACCTTCCCTCTGTCATCCTTCTATCTCCTTGAACACCTCGACCTCCAGCAGAACTCTGACACTCAGACCACTCCCCACTGAGATCGACCCTCCATCTAGACCCTCCCTTGCGGAACCTGTCCATGTCCCCATCCACAGCCCAAAGGGAGGGAGGAGCGGCGCCTTCTCTCCACCAGCAGCTGCAGTTCCCCTCAGTGAAGTCACTTGCACAAGGTCACAGAGTGGCCTGTGGGTCTTGCCCACTGCTTCCCTGGCGGGTCCGGAACCAAGGGAGAGAGTGTGCTGGGCCTGGTACAGCGGGGCTGGTGCTGGGGGCCTGCGCGTTTCCAGGAGGCTCCCGGGAGGCCGCCTGCAGCCCCAGGCCCTCCCCGCCCAACCTGCATCCACCCCACGTGCCTCTGTGCCTCTGCAGCTTCTCCTCAGTTGCGGGCTGAGGGACGCCAGCCTTGTCAGGCTCTCCTGGATCCCCTTCTGGGCCATCTGCCCAGGTGGTGACTCAGCCCAAAGGGCCCCTCGCTCACCCGGGCCATCTCCTGTCTGGATTGTCCCCTTTTTACACCAGATGGGGGTGCCCCCAAGTGGGCCCCAGGGCAGAGGCCTCCTGGGCCAATCCCTGTGATTCTTGGTGAGCCTGACCAGAGATTCCATGTGGGGATCTGAGGACCAGGTGCTGTCTGGGCCCTGTGGTGCTGGGGACTGCCCGGGTCACCCTTGCAGTGCTGGGTCCTCCAGGGCCACACCCCGATCCCCATCTCAGTGCCGTGCATGCACCTTAGCCCTGAGGTTCTCCCTTTTCGTACAATCTAACCCCATCCCCCACCTCCACCCCCACCCCCTAGCTCGTTTCCTTCCTTGGAAACTTTCAGCCCTTCTCTGGATCACCCGTCCCCAGACTTCCCAGAGGCTGAAACCTACACCGAAGAGCCTCACTCACCTCCTGCTTGGGTGTGGAACTTGCTTGACTGTTTCTGGGTTACATCACCTGCCCGAGGTGCCAGGAGCATGTGGGCAGCAGCCCCTACCTCTCTGACCGGCCCAGTGCCCAGCAGGCTCCCGCAGGCCCTGCCGACCTGGCCCTGGGCAGAACTGAGCCCCGTGACTGGCCGTGGCAGACGCCAAGGCCAGGTTTTTGGCTCCCTTTCCCACGAGAAAACCATGCCATTATCCCTTGGTATGGGAAATCCACTGCCAACCTTACTGTAGCTTTACAATAATAATGATGCTATTTGTTTTGGGCTTTTTTTTTTTTGGTAACTCATACATTTTAAGTTTAAACAAAATTTATCTCCTTTTCATTCTGTCCTACCAACTGTGCATATTGGAAAATTTTGTTTTGGCGGGGTTGGGGGTGGGTGTTGGGGTGATCTCCTGCTGTGTTTGAGGTTTACTCGTGGCTCTGTGCTCAGGGATCATTCTGGAAGTGCTCAGGGAGGAACCAAATGTGGTGCTGACAATTAGACCAGGGTTGGTCACATGCAAGGCAAGTGTCTTAACTCCTGCACTCTCTCTGGCCCCAGAAATAATGTTTAATCTCGTGTGCGTGTGTGTGTGTGTGTGTGTGTTTGTGTTTCTCTTTTCAAGGGTGCTCAGGGGAACCATGTGATACCAATATCTAACTCAGGGCTCCTTACACAAGTCTTAGATGTCCTTTAAGCCATTTCCCTGATTGGAAAAAAAAAAGATTTTTATAACTTCTACTTGTGTGTGTATGTCTCTGTGTGTGTGTGTGTGTATTTAGGAACACTCTGAGTGTAGTAGAAAAATTGAGAACTACAGTTCCAGAAAAAAGGAGGGGGGAATCATCTGTATTTCCGCCCCCTAGAAATAACCATAGTTAGTAATTGCTGAATTGTCGCTATCTGTGTGCTGGCAAAAACAGGGCCAGTCTGTACAAAATGTTGTCTGTCAGGCTTTTCTCGTCAGATGTGTCCCCGAGATTTCTCTGTCAGGCCCGTTTGCTCTAAAATAAGAGGCATGAGCTCCCTCTTCTATAGTCTGGCCCGGGGCGTCAGGCTCCCATCCCCTTGGCTTCCTGCCTGGGCTCCTGTGCTCAATCCTTCCAGTACATTCTGTTGAGGAGCTTTGCTTGAGGCTGTGGAGGGCCCGGAGAAGCAGCAGCAGCCTTGATGCAGAGCCTGGATCTGGGGAGCGGTGGGTGGTGGGGGACGGGGGGGAGGGGCCGGGGAGGTGGCAGGAAGATGCACCGCTAGTTGTTCCCCTCTCTTTCGATGTCTGGGTGTCCCCAGGAGAGGAGAGGGAGGAGAGTGAATTTGTTCAAAGGGCCGCCAGTGTCTCTCCTGCACAGAAGCCAGCGGGGTGGTTTGCAGATGGTTCTTCTTTTGGCTTGCAAGAAGACACAGGTGTGGAAGGGTCAGAGAGGATGGGCTGATGGGGGAGGGAGCAGGTGGCCCCCGGAACTCAGAGCTCAGGGACCTGGGGACAGGTGGATTCTGCTGCTCCCAGCAGAAAACAGATGAGCTGGAGGCCATCATGGGCAAGTGGGCATCTCCTTCTCAGGGTTCTAACTGCTGTGCCTGAGAACAGCCAGTATCCGTTCCCCATGGCAGGCCGAGAAGAGGTCTCGAGCTAGGCAGACCAGATTTGAGGCTAGGGGGTGGGAGCCCCCCAGAGCAGTTCTGGCCACTCTTGGTGTTTGCTTGGCTGTGGCTTTAACTCGTGCCTGTTCAGTCAGTGATAAGGGTGGAGAGGAGGAAGATTCTTTTTTTTTTTTTTCCTTTCTGGGTCACACCTGGCGATGCACAGGGGTTACTCCTGGCGGTGCTTGGGGGATCATATGGGATGCTGGGAATCGAACTTGGGTCGGCTGCGTGCAAGGCAAACGCCCTACCCGCTGTGCTATCTCTCCAGCCCCAAGAGGAAGAAGATTCTTGCCCCTCATCTTTTGAAGGGGTGGGGTAGGAAGAGTTGTGTTCAGAGAACCACGAGCAGTGCAGCTCAAACCCAGAGGTCCTACGTGCCGAGCACACGCTGCAGAGCTCCTCCCCGAGTCCCCACCTGCTGTGGGTACAAGGTCTCAGGCCTATTCGTCCCCTCAGCCACACCCCCAGCTCCTTCTTCTTACTTCTTTGTTTGTTTATAGGCTATACCAGTGGTATTCAGGGTTTACTCCTGGCTCTGTCCTCAGTGATCATTCCTGGCGGTGCTCCAGGGACTGTAGGTTGTCCTGGGGATTGAGTCCATTCAGCACCTTAACCCACAGCACTGCTTGGCTCTTCTGCCCGGTTTTTCTGTTTTTCCCATCATCGAGGTCCGGGAGGCTTTTGAGAGCTCCTAGGGATGAAGGTGGCCCAGAGGACTGAGTGGGCTTTGCATGAGGGAGCCCTGGGCTCTAGCCCTAGGACTGCAAGGCCCCCTAGCAGTGTGATGCATGATCCCCAAGCACTGAGCTGGGAGTAATCCCTGAGCACTGCCAGGTGCAGCACCAAAACCAAACAACCAGGGAAAAAATAGGCGTTCCATCCCTTTGGGTCCATCCTCACAACACCCTGAGCAGTCAGTGGGACAGAAATTAAAGACACTTGGGACAGGAGGTGTCCCAAGTCACCACCTCACGGTCTGGAGTGCAGGACTCTTGGGCCTCGACAAGGTTCCTTGAGGGTCTCCTGTGTGCCAGGTTGTGGTGGGGAACCCCCTGCCACAGTTCTTTGTGTCTGTCCCCTGTGCCCTGGGCAGATGGAAATCTTGTCACCCCAGGACAGGAGTTGGAGTCCAAGAACATGGGGTGTCTGTGTGTGGAAGGGGGATCCGTGACCCATCACATCTCCTCATCTCTCCCTGCACCCCTCTTGCCCTCTTTCGGTGGTTCTTTGTTCATGGGTCCCTGTCTGCCCCTCTCCGCTCAAGTGCTTTCTCCCCTGCCCATTGCAGGCGTGCTGGTCACCATGACAACAGAGACGGGCCCCGACTCTGATGTGAAGAAGGCTCAGGAGGAGGCCCCACAGCAGCCCGAGGCCTCCGCCGCCACCACCCCTGTGACCCCCACAGGCCACGGCCACCCAGAGGCCAACGCCAATGAGAAGCAGCCGGCCCCGCAGGACCCTCGGCCTGCCGACCAGGTGGGTGCCCGCATGTGTGGCCGACACACATAGGAAAGCAAGAAGCCGCAGCCCAGCCACTAGGGGACAGAGCCCTTCGTTCTTGTTTAATTCTCCCGAACCTCCTAGGAGCTTAATTCTCCCCCACACACCTCACTTGATCGTCGGGGAAACTGAAACGCAGCAAGAGGGAACGAGTGACACAAAGTCACCGTGCCCTAAAGTGATAAAGTGAGACCAGGATCCCACTTCGGAAACGGTTCTTTCCACCTTATTTCCTGCTCCTCAGCCCGTCCACTCTGGCCTGATGACCCCAGAGCAGAAGCCAGCAAGGCACTGGCTTAGAGGTGTGCTTGGGGTTCCCCAGGGACACTCATGGCGATACCCAGCCTGTGTCACAGACCACTGCAGCGTCTGCAAGGCAGGGGTGACCACCAGGGATTAAACTCAGTCCTCCCCCTGCCAAGCACGTGCTCCCGCCCTCTGAGTCGTCTCCCAGCCCTGAGTCCCTTTCAACAGGACTTAGGGTCTCATCTCTCCAGTAATTCATGCCTCCCCTCATTCTTTTTATTTTTTTTTATAATTTTTTATTTTATAAAGTAGTTCACAGTATTTCATTACATTTAATGTTTAAACACCAATCCCACTACCATTACACCTTTCCACCACCATATTTTGGATGTTTCCATCCCAAACCTCAATCCCTGGCCCTATACAAAATACATCTTTTGTATTGTTTGTTATGAAAAACTGCTGAAAATGCTACAAAAAAGTATCCTTAGAGGAAAGAGGGTGAAGATTGTTGTATTTCACCCAGGAGCCACTGAGCCCTTCTATAAGAGATCACTAACATGTTGTTAGAGGTTGAGCCTTGTGTGTGTATACATACATATATATGTATGTTTATATATATGTGTATATATATGTATTTAAAAAATTTTTTCTCTACGATTGGTTGCCTCCTACTTTGAACTCCACCAGATATGGTATGGTACTCTTGGAGTATGGGTAGAGTATGTGGCAAATGTGGCTGTGTGGTCCAGGAATAGGTTCACTTGTGGGTGAGGCTCGGCCCGAGTGTGTGGAGAGTGGCCATGAGCATGATAGCGGTTGAGTTCTGGAGGTTTTCGGCAGTCAGGGTTCGGTCCTTGGGGTGGGGAGGGGCCTTACCCACCTGCCCCCATCCCCTCATTATTCTTGACAGGCTCGGAGGGGGCAGGGACGCGGGTAGTGTCACCGAGGGTATCCATGTCAGGTTGTGGACTCCCAGGCAGGGCTCAAGACCCAGCCTGAGTGTCCCAGCTGCGGGCACTGACCCCTCCCTCTCTGCTCTCGGGAGCCAGCCCTGAGCACCAGGCTGGGTGGCTGGGTGGTCATGTCTGTCGACTGCGTGTGGCAACAGTGACGTGCGGGGAGGAAGGGCTGCCCTCCGGGAACCCTCCCCTGGACTTTCTTCCTCCATGTGCCTGCCCGGTCACTCCAGGGCTCGGAGAGGGCCACACCCCTCCCCTGCCCTCTGGGTTCACCTCCCATCCCATAGTCATGCATGACCGTGATGTAACATTCCCGCGGTCACATCCGCAGGGCCTAGACATGGAGGAGAAGGACTACAGTGAGGCCGACGGCCTGTCGGAGAGGACCACGCCCAGCAAGGCCCAGAAGTCGCCCCAGAAGATTGCCAAGAAATACAAGAGCGCCGTCTGCCGGGTCACCCTGCTCGATGCCTCCGAGTACGAGTGCGAGGTGGAGGTAGGGCTCCCCCCGCTATGCCATGCCCCTTCACCCGAGGCAGGGCTGGGGGTGAGGGCAAACCCTCAGCTGGGGCCTCACCAGAGGGTACCTCCGGGCTGAGGAATGCACCCCACAGAGGAGACCACCTCTTCGGGGGTTCCCAGGGGTGCCCACAGCCCCCCTCATGGCACCTCCGTTCCCCTCTTCAGAAGCACGGCCGGGGCCAGCTGCTCTTCGACCTGGTGTGCGAGCACCTGAACCTCCTGGAGAAGGATTACTTCGGCCTGACCTTCTGCGACGCCGACAGCCAGAAGGTGCCTGTGTGCTCAGGGGCTTCTTCCGAATTCTTCCCCCTGCGGGGCTGGAGACTTCCTCCCGGGACCCATCCCCTCCACTGACCCTGCTGGGGACTCTCTTCCTGTGGGCATCCTAGTCCTGGCCAATTCTCACTGTTTCTGTCTTCAGCTCTTTCTTTGTGCCCGCAAGATTGAGCTGGCCTGGTCGGTTCACAGTTCTGTCTGCAGCCGCTCCCTGACCCAGGCATTCCTCAGGACCACCCCGCCCCAAGTCACTTCCTAAAAGTGTATCTGGGGATACAGGAGATGGGGAACTAAGATATGTGTGTCCCTCCCCTTCCCCATCCTCCCCTGAGGGTCCTCTCTGAGGTTCATCCTTCCCACTTGTCCGGGGCCACATACTACCAGCCCCTCGGGTACCCGCTCCAAGTCTGTATCTGTGCTGGCCTCACGCCCCTCCCCATCCCAGAAGGCCAGCCAGGAGGCGGCTTCCCTGCCCGGCTGTTTCGGAGTGTTCCTTGCCTCCATCTCCCCTCTGCCTTCTCTTGCAGAACTGGCTGGACCCCTCCAAGGAAATCAAGAAGCAGATCCGGAGTGAGTGTCCCCTGCTTAACCACTTCTCTGTCCTGGGAATCTGGGGGGCTGGGCGAAGGGGACACCAAGTCACAATGGCTGGGGGTGGGTGTGCAACTCCCTCCAACGCTGGAATATGAATTTGGACCCATGAGCTCAGTTGCTCCATACGTGTGACAGATGTTAGAGCTGGCCAGCTGCAGAGCGGCCAGGAACTCAGACAGGAAAGATACAGGCTAGAGTCTTGGCTCACAAAAGGTGGGCTCGCTGTCCACGGTCAGGATGTCCCCAGGAAGGGACCTGCAGAGTCATCTGGAACCAGGGGACAAAGAGGTGGCCTGCGATTTGTCCTGTTCCAGGGCTACTACTGCTGTTAATGAGGGCCCTCTCACAGTTCAGGACCCTGGTCCACCTCTCGCTCCAGGCACAGCCAGCCTAAAGGCACACTGGGCACTATGGGGTCCTGGCCATCTCCTGACAGGCCCAGAGACAGGCCCAAGATCGATCTGACCTGAGACACTGACAGCCAGAAGGTGTCTGTGTGCCCGGGAACTTCTTTCCAAATTCTTCCCACTGCAAGGGTGCGGGACTGGCAGGTTACTGAGGGCATGGCGCGGGCTCCTGGGCCCTCGTCCATACTCTTTAAGGCCTGGGGGGCAGCTCTGAGCATCCGGCGACAGCCGGTGCCTTCCAACCCACGGAGCAAAGGCACGCTGTGAGTGCAGGGGCCACCTTCAAACACAGAAGGGGGAGGTAGGTGGCCTTGGCCGGGGTGCAGGAGGCGGAGCCCTGGCCCTGGTTGCCCGGGCCTCCAGCGGGCCTCCCTCCTTGGCTGAGCCTGTTGCTATGACAGCAGGCAGCTGAGCCGCCCTGCCAGCCGGCTCTGTGGGAGGGGCCTGGAGGATCTCTCCCTGTGGGCTCCTGTCAGCCGGAGACAAAGAGGCAGGGACACCCATCCCAGCCGGCTCTGGGGGACGGACAGGGTCCTAGGCCCAGAAGGCCCCAGTGGGCTGCCCAAAAGCTTTGGGACTCCTGGAGGGCAAGTGTGTAGGGTGAGAGCAGGGCAGGAGCTTCGGAGAGAAACAGCCAGAGGGAGGGGCCAAAACTGCCCACAGGGCAGGGCCCAGAGCAGGGTCAGTGTCCTCCTGCCCCTGAGGCCCACCCGCACTCTCGCTTCTGCTTCCAGCCGGAGCTCCCTTTCTTTGCCCATAGCACACCCCACCCCTCGCCTTCCCAGATGACGCCACGCAGCAGTTTCCTCCCGAGATGGTGCCCATCACCTGGGTACCCAGGCCAGCGCCTCCTCTCTGGCCTCCTGCTTCTCCGTAGTAAAGAGACTTGTGGCGTGGCAGCTGTGTGGATGGCAGCCTGTGTTCCCCCCCCCCCCCCCACACACACACTTCCTGTGCTGTTCTGTTTTGGTAGGGGCTGGGAGAGACCTGGAGGCCACACCTTGCCACACATGTGTGGCCTGACTGTGCGCGTCAGATGCTTTCAGTTCTACCCGCCCCCCACACACTTTATTTAAGCCCTGTGATTTACAGAATTGTTCATGATGATTTGTTACAGGCGTTCAGTATCCCAAACCCAGTCCCACCCCCTTCCTTCCACTACTATCCTATTTTCCCAACCACCCCTCAAGCCTGCCCCCCCCAGCAGACACAAAATAATTTAATTTATATTGCTTGTTACCACTAAATGGCTAATGGAATTATCAAAAAAATGCTTACGTAAGAGAAAATTTGTGAAAATTGTTTGTCTCACCATGGGGACATTAAGTCCTGGTCTGAAGGTTTGCTAAGCTGTTGTTGCTAGTTGAGCCTTCTGTGTTAATGTTTTTTGCTAATCGAGCTTAGTTGGATGCTGTGTTAGATTCCCATCCAATCTGGTGTGCTCCTACAGGGATGTTTGTATTGTCAAGTTTGGAGATGTTGCACGGTTGCAAGCTTATGCTCCAGAAAATTCAGAATAAGGGGGCTGGAGCGATAGCACAGTGGGTAGGCTGTTTGTCTTGCACGTGGCCGACCCAGGTTCAATTCCCAGCTTCCTATATGGTCCCCTGAATACTGCTAGGAGTAATTCCTGAGTGCATGAGCCAGGAGTAACCCCTGTGCATCACTGGGTGTGACCCAAAAATTTTTTTAAAAATCCAGAATATTTAACTGGGATATTTAAGGTATATTTAACTGGGAATATTTAAGCTGTGAGCTTATATGGCGGCAGTGGTAGAATGTGAGTGTGACTGCCGGGGCTTCTGGAAGTACGAGGGGTGGGGGGGGGTGGGGGGTTAGTGGGGGGAGCTTCCCACCCCTACCCCCAGAAGGCCCCAGGGTTCAAGGCCAAGAAACCCTGTGTACCTGAAAATGTCAACCTTGACATCTCTGTGGCTCTTAGTCGTGAGGAGGTAGGGTCTGGCTATTGGCATGTGGACAGTTCCTGGGGTGTGAGTGCATCTGCTTCAGCAGAGCAAGGACCTGGCTTCCCCTCCTCCCCCACCCAAGGGTGCCCAGAGTTCCCAACCAGGGACAGGTGTCACGGTCACGGTCACGGTCCTCCCGTTGTTCATCGATCTGCTCGAGCGGGCCCAGTAACATCTCCATTGTGAGACTTGTTGTTACTGTGTTTGGCATATTGAATATGTCACGGGTAGCTTGCCAGGCTCTGCTGTGCGGGCGAGATACTCTCAGTAGCTTGCCGGGCTCTCTGAGAGGGGCGGAGGAATCGAACTCAGGTCAGCCATATTGGCTGCGTGCAAGGCAAACGCCCTACCACTGTGCTATCGCTCCGTGTGTCTGAGAATTTTCACAGCTAGTTGATCTCTTCTGAGATTTGATCATGAGTCTGTAGGGCTGAGCAGTAGATGAGCTGACACGGTGGCACTGTGGGGTGTGGCCAGTTTTAGTTCTTGGGCCCAGCGATGCTGTGGGTGCAGCTCAGGGGTCCCCAGACTGACACCCAGAGGTGTTGTGGAGGGGCACACATGCTGTGATCAAAGTCAGTCCCTCCAGGAGCTTGCCTGTGCTCTAGCTCTATGACCCACCTCCCCAGCACCCTCTTGCCTTGTTTTCAGTAATTCTGCCTCAGTCCCCCTCTATAAACTGGGGGCAATTCTTGTACTTACCCTTAGGGTGGTTACTATGCTTGTTAAATGAGCTGCTATATGGTTAGGCCCTAGGAAGGGGCCAGCATGCAATAGGGGCCAGTGCAGTAGCTGCAGTTAACAGTCATTGTCATCGTCACTACCCCCGCTGCCCTGCCACAGCTCTTCTTGAGACAGGGCTATTTCCCCCTTAGAGGCTGTGTTCTCTGAGGAGTCAGCTGTGGTCAGGAGCCTGGACTTTGGGGCGGAGGGTCGCAGTCTGAGTCTTCTTCTCTACCACTCACCAGCCGGGTGAACCCCCGCCCCACCCCCGACCCTCCACTCTGGCAGAGTGTGTTGACCCTAGAGTCTGTCCATGAAAAGCAAAGTCTGCGTCAGCCTCATTGCGCAGATGAAATTCCTCTGCATGCCCATGAAGTTCTGAGCCAGACATGTGTCTTAGCAAGTGCAGGGAGCTGGATGGGAAAGGCGGTGTGGGCCGCACCCAGGACACGGAGGGAGTGTGGGCCTGACCCCCAGCCCCGCGCAGTACTGTCCTTCCCAGACCTGCCCCTCTTGCTCCATTTGTCAAGGCCTTTTTAGAGCATGGAACCAGGAATGGTGTGTGTGTGTGTGTGTGTGTGTGTGTGTGTGTGTGTGTGTGTGGCGGGCGGGAAACCGTTGTTCTGATGGCGGCTCCAATCCCCTCCACCCTCTGTCTCTCTTACTGTCTCCAAAGGCCTTAAGACAACCCTTCTTCCACCACTCCCATAACCAACTCAGGCCTCAGCCTTTCGTCCTCGAGATGTGTCCATCGATTTTCTCTCTTGTCTTTTCCCTATCTCAATTTGGAGGTTGACACTTAACCCTGCAGAATGCCCAGGGTTGCTTTTAGTCCATTATATTGGCCTTTCAGTTCCCACCTCTAGCCCAGCCCTGCCATCTGAGAGGAGCCCCTAGCTGAGGGCAGCATTTTCCAGGGGCTTCTGGGAGCATTACCTGGCAGGATGCCCGGGGAGATGGAGGAAGCTGGTCAGATGCAGTTTTTGTTTGTTTGGGGGCCACGGCTGGTGATCTTTAGGGCTCACTCCTGGCTCTGCACTCAGGAATCACTCCTGGCAGTGCTCGGGAGACCGTATATGGTACTGGGGTTTGAACCCGGGTCGGCCACATGCAAGGCAGGCGCTCTGCCTGCTGTACTATCTCTCCAGTTTCCCGGATGCATTTTGGGAACTGTGTCCTGCCAGTCTTCAGAGAAATGCCATCTCCAGTGGCAGAGTGGGGTGCAAAGGTGCCCAGTTAGCAAACCAGGTTAGCTGTGGTGGTCTCAGCTATTGGCCCATAAGTGCCAGCCCGCCGAAGTAAAGAAGTCGGCCTGCTGCAGTGGGCATAACTGCCCTTCAATGGCCTGACAGACAGACAGGTGTGGGAAGGGTATGGACCACCATTCTTGAGCCGGGGCCCTCAAGGGCCTTAGATGGGGCAGGCACTCTGGGCCTCCCGCCAGTTCTAGTGAGGTGTTACCATGGCTGGCCACCTCATGTCAAGGACCTCTGTCCCCACCTGCAATGCGGAACCATCCTAGGACACACAGGGTGGAGGTGTGTTGAGTGGTGTGGCCGTCACCCTAGCTTTTCCCTCCTACTGCCAGCATTGTCTGTGAACCTGGGCCCCTGACTCTGCTCAGTCCAGTGGGAGGAACGTCCAAGGCTTCCTGCCTGGAATTATGGAAGTGAGGAACCTTCCAAGGTTTCTGCCTTTCCGTCGGATGGTTCAGTCTGGAACACACCCCTAAGATGGTGGACCGGGCCTCTGACCTTTCTCCTGTCTTCTCCTCTCAGGCAGCCCCTGGAATTTTGCCTTCACAGTCAAGTTCTATCCCCCAGACCCTGCTCAGCTGACAGAAGACATCACCAGGTGAGGGTCATGCAGGGGCCAAGTGAGATGACCATGTGGAACCAAGCTGGAGGGGAGGTCCTGGCCTGGACCATCCTGGCCTGGGGAGGCTGGGTGGTTATTTTTTTTTTCTTTTTGAGTCACACCAGCAATGATCAGGGGTTACTCCTAACTCTGCACTTAGGAATCACTCCCAGTGGTGCTCAGGGGACCATATGGGATGCCAGTGATCGAACCTGGTTTGGCCGTGTGCATGGCAAACGCCCTCCCCTCTGTGTTATCGCTCCAGCCCCTGGGCAGTTTCTTTATGTTGAGATTGGAACTCAAAAACCTGCCGTGGACACCAGAGGAAGCAGTGAGAGCAGTGGTCAGTGGCAGCCCATTCCCTGAGGTGGGGACGGGGGGGCTCCCGGTGCAGTCAGCCGCCGCCTCCTCTGACAGTCGCTGCCCGCCCAAGTGGGCGAGAGGCCGGTGTGTGAGAACTGCAGCTTTCTGGGCTGGCACTGGCATTGGGTCCCGCGTGCTGCGCTTGCCTGTGTCTGACACCTCCAGGCTGCTGGACCAGAGAGACCAGGGGGCAGCTGCAAGCAGTCTTCCACACAAGCTTCCAGGGGACTGTCCTGCCGGAACTGGGAGAGGCCCTTCTCTTTTGGGGGGTGGGGATGCCCAGGTGATGCTCAGGGGATCCATGGCCTCTCCTGGCGATTCACAGTTTGTAGGCCCAGCAGGTCAGTTTAAAGGTTATTCCATGCTGAGTGTGACAACCCAAGCTGCCAGGCAGTGTCTGGGGAGCTCCAGTACCCCATGCAGTGGTGCTCGGGGTTCCAAGTGCAGTGTTGGGATTTGAACCCAGGTCAGCCTCATGCAAGGCAAGCACCTTAACTCCTCTCCAGCCTCTCCTGCCCCGACGCCCCTTGTCCCTAGATGCTTCAAAGAGAGTCCCCCACCCTGTCCTCATGCTAACAGGGTGTGCCTAGGACTTACTCCCACAGTGGAGAAGGCTGGGCCCCTCCTTAAGTTTGCCAGGAGGTGGGCCAAGATCCCGGGGCCCACTGTGGCCTTGGGAGGTGTTCCTGGAATAGAGCAGGCCCCTGACCTTGGCTGCTGACTCCAAGGTCAGCCTGAAGCTCCAAGGGCAGCAGCAGAGTCTGGACTCTGCCCCCGAGAGTCCCTGGGAGCTGTGGACTCAGGATGACCTGGCCCTTACCCCTCCATTCTGCGCACAGGACTCTCGACTCTAGGTGCTGGCGCCAGAGTCGCCAGGAGGGAAGTTAGCCCTGTCCAGATGGGTGCCCCCAGAGATGGGTGACCATAGAAGCTGATTAATTCAAAGCTGCTTCTTTCATTATTTTTAATACACACACTTATATATATTTGAATCACTGAATTATAGCTACAAGGTTATTCGTGACTGCGTTTCAGGGGTATAGTGTTCCAACACCGAACTCTTCACCAGTGTCCACTTCCCTTCACCAGTGCCCCAGTTTCTCTCCTGTCCCCCACCTGTCTCAATGGCCGACACTTTTTTCTTTTTCCCCTTTACGGCACCACAGTTTACAGTACCTAAACTGAGTATCACGCATGTCACTTTACCTTCTTTCAGCACCCAGTCCTCATCCAGAGTGACCATTTCCCTCTGTCATTGTCATGGGGGTCCCTTCCCTAACCTCTCCCCCCTCACCTCCCAGTGGCGAGCTTCCTACTAAGGACCTGTTATCTTACTCTTCAATTCTGTTGCTTTTGGCCATCAGTTATTAATCTCCTAGTATGTTCCTTTATATCCTGCATATGCGTGAGGCCATTCTGTGTCTGTTCCTCTCATCTTGATATTCCCAGATCGATCCATGTAGCAGCAAATTATATGCACTCATCTTTTCTTACAGCTGAGTAGTATTCCATTGTGTATATGTACCATAGCGTTATTTTATTTCATTTTTATTTTCTTATCCAATCATCTGTTCTTGGGCTCTTGGGTTGTTTCCAGGATTTTTGATTTTGATTTTAATTTTTTATCCAATCTTCTGTTCTTGGGCACTTGGGTTGTTTCCAGGTTCTGGAGTCCAAACTATTCTGGCCCAAAATAAATGGTTGAAAGTGATGAAGTGAGAGATTGGTCAGAACATTGGGCAGGTTTTCCAACCTTTTCTTATGGTTACGCACAGTGCTCAGGAGCCCACACTTGTTCTGTCAGAGCGAGTGCAACTCTGGAGCCTGCCCTGAGCACCCGGGGCCGAGGCTGCTCCTCCTGTCTGCCAGAGCTGCGGTTCTGTCTGCAAAGCGGTGCCACGGAGCGGCACAAATTGCACTAAGTGAAAGCCACTTAGAGGGGGAAAAATGGGGAAACACAGCAAAACAGGCTCCAAGGAGGCATTGCTGGCTGAGAATGATCTGCAGCGTTTTCCGGAAATGCACAGTAACTGGAAAACAGCAATAAAAAAATAGCATTAAATGATTCTAAAAATTGTAAAACCCGTCCAAGTGTGCATAAAAGTTATATAAAGAAAATCATGGCCTACTGATTGGAAATGTTTTCTTTAAACCTGTTGGGTTTGAGTTCCAATGATAACTGGTTGCAGGAGGAGCACTTTTTTTTCTTTTTTTAGTACACCTTGCAATACTCAGGCCTCACTCCTGGCTTTGCAATCAGAGATCACTCCTGGAAGGCTTTAGGAACTATATAGGGCCCAGGGATTGAACCCGGGTCAGCTGCATGCAAGGCAAGTGCCCTACCCACTGTGCTATCACTCCAGCCCCTGGGAGCATGTTTGGAGGTAACACAGGAGGTTCATCTGTGCTAGGATGCAGGTGCTAAGGTACCAAGTGGGGGGGGGTGGTGGTGCTCAAGTTACAGGTGCCATCCTGGGGAGGACCCTCTGTACAGCATGTGTCCTGAGGAGCAGATGTTATTCGTGCTGTGCACGTGGCAAGTACAGGTCACCTGGAAGCTGCCTGCTGCCCCCTGTGTGCAGATCGGGGAGGACTGAGCACTCCACAGACAACAGGAGCTGCTGGCGGGCGAGATGGTGACCCGGTCTGCACCAGGAGGAAAACTAATGCTTCCTCTCAAGTCTGACGTTCTTAAAACCACTGGAAATATATCAGGGACCAGAGATAGGGTCTTGGCACTTGCCTTGTATTCTGAAAAACGTAGTTTGAATCCCTGACACCATCTAAGGTCCTCCAAGCTCTACCAGGGGAGAACAGCCCCTGAGCACCACTGGACGTGTCCCAACCCTCCACCCCCAATCTCTTAAAAATGAATGTGTGAAGGGCCAGGGATACAGTGTAAGAGGAGAGGGCCTTGCCTTGCAGTCCCTTGAGGTCACTCCTGGACATAGAGCCAGGAAAACTCCTGAATACCACCAGGTGTGCCCCCAGAATCCAAATTTTGCACCCCAAAAAGAATTTGTCACACAGTGAAGTGCTGCAGAAGCCCTGGGTTCTATCCCTGGCACTGTGGGTATTGCTTCCAAACAAACAAACAAACAAAAAATGGAAAAGGAAAGAAAAGCACAGCCAAGGGCCAGAGCAACACTCCAGCGGGCAGTATGCTTGCCTTGTACGCAGCCAACCCGAACTTGATCCCCAGCACCCCATTTGGCACCCACGCCCCAGCCAGGAGTAAGCCTGAGCAGAGCCCAGTGTGACCCCTCCCCCCAAAAAAATAAACAAACCAAACGAAAAATGGACCAAACTGGCAGATGACTATGAAATTGTCGAAGCAGGGACGGTCGAAAGAATCTCTCAAAACTCAGACATGAACAAAAGTGTTTCAAGCCTCCTAACCTGATGCCAAGTTACTGTCGGCCCATGCTGTGGAAACGCTCTCTTCAGACACGCCCTGATTGGGGGCTCTGGGAGTGCAGGTGTCTAGGCGCCTTCCATGGCCTCTGAACTTCCATGACGCCTTCCATGGCTTTGGCGCTGCTGGGCGCGTGGGGACAGCTGTGCCCGGGCGCATCTTGGCGGGGCCCCGGCTTATGCATCCTCTCCCCGCCTGCAGATACTACCTGTGCCTGCAGCTGCGGGCGGACATCATCACGGGCCGCCTGCCCTGCTCCTTCGTCACGCACGCGCTGCTGGGCTCCTACGCCGTGCAGGCCGAGCTGGGCGACTATGACGCCGAGGAGCACGTGGCCAACTACGTCAGCGAGCTCCGCTTTGCCCCCAACCAGACCCGGGAGCTGGAGGAGAGGATCATGGAGCTGCACAAGACGTACCGGTGAGGGGCTGGAGCAATGGCACCGCAGGGAGGGCGTTTGCCTTGCACGCGGCCGACCCGGGTTCGATTCCCTGCACTCATATCGTCCCCCAAGCACCGCCAGGAGTAATTCCTGGGTACAGAGCCAGGAATAACCCCTGTGCATTGTGGGTGTGACCCAAAAAGAAAAAAAAAAGATGTACCGGTGAGCGTCCCCCACCTCCCCCCTGGCAGATGCTGGCTCTCAGCAGCCCGGAATGTTCTTCCTTGGATGCTGTCACTCTCACTCAGGTGTGCATGAGAGCTAGCCCTTCCCTCCAGCTGCCTCTGTCCAGGGGAAATGAAGGTCATTAGCCGCATCCGCTGCTAAGCTCCTCCGGGGATGTGATAATCCCCAGCCCCTGACCTGTGCCAATCAGTCCTTTCATCTGTCAGCGGGAGATAGAAAGCCCCGGCGTGCCCCTGCTGCCTGGGTCCCCACCTTCAATGCAGGACTGGGGGCTCTAAAGCCAGACCGCCGTCGGGGCTCACCTGGCTCTGCCCTTTCTAGCCGGGATCTCAGCCAGGCAGCGCCCTCCCCTCGGATTCTCCTCACCTGTTCCCTGGGGCTGCTAAGAACACCTGCCTTGTCGAATTGCTGCGGGGCATCAGCCACTCCCCTAGAGACCCCCCTGTGTCAGCAGTGCCATGGGCGGAGGGAGCAGCCGGACGCTCCCTGGCCCCCTGCTGCCCTTAACTGGGTGGAGGCCCCAGTGAGCAGCATTGAACCACAGCTGGAACTCGAGGCAGAGCATTAATTGTGCAGGATCCTGAGCCTCACCAGACCCCAGATAATAGATGCCTAGGACCCCGCCCCAAGTCATTGTAACTCACTGAATGCCTCCCCCAACACCCGCCCCCCCCCCCCCAGCTTTCAAAGGCCATGCTGTGAGGAGGCCACCACCTTGGGTAGTGTGTGCGTGGGGGGGTGGGGCGGGGGGAATCCTCAAAGGAAATGGTCTCCAGGGGCCATTCAAACTGCATATGCTTTGGGCTTTCCGCACATGGTTGTTATGTGGGGATGTGCTCTGGGGGGGCTGGAAGGCTTCTCCTGGTGGGGACTCTGGCAGCTGTGAGGATGGAGGCGGCGAGGAGGGGTGCCCCGGAGGCTGCAGCTGGAGAGACCCCGGCTGGGTGTGGTGGGACAGATGCAGTGTGTCTATGTACACGTGTGTGTGGGGGTAAGGGGTTCAGATATGTCTCCCAAAACTCAGACACCAGTTCTGACTGGTTAGTGACCAGTGCTGTCCTATTGTGTTGAGTCGGAGGCAGAAGATGTTCGCCCAGGGACCTCGGGGAGTGCTGTCCGGCCGCCCGCTGCGTCATCCCTCCAGAGGGAGCAGGAGGGGTTAGGGAGGGTTGGAGTCATTCTGACTCAGAGGAAGTTCCCATCAGCGGGGGCTGCGGAAATGCCCCCGGTCACTCCCCCCCAGATGTCGGTCCCCTCGGTGCCCAGAGTCCACAGACCCCATGCCCCTCGGCTCCCGGAGGTGGGAAGAGCAGAGACGGGGAGACAGATGGGAGGAGAGGGGACAGCGGTGTGTGACGTGGCTGGAACACCAGCTCCCATGTCACCTTGTCTGGATTCACACTCTGACTTGATGCCCATGGAGAGCCGTTCAACCTTCCCAGGCCAGTTTGCACCCCTGGGAGAGGGGAGTGATGAGAGTCTCTCCCGGGAGCCCGGAAGGGGGTCTGGAACATCAGGCATCTGTGTCAGCACAGACAGTGAATGTTTACTGGAGTTCAGTGTGAAGTGGGCACTGACCCAACAGCCAAAGCCCAGAGGGACCTCAGCGGGTCCCAGAGCCCCTCCGTCCAGCAAGGAGAGTGTCCATCGTTAACTTCAGGGAGAGGAAGTAGGTTCCGACACCAAATCCTAGCAGAAATGTCTCCCTCTTGCAGGGAATTGTTGTGTATCCCAGGGGGGTTGGTTAGGGGCTGCCATCTCCATGGTGCATGATTTTCACTTGATCACAGTGAACCAAAACTTGTGGCTCACCTGTAACTCAGTGGCAGGAGGCAAACATCTGAACTCAGCTCAGTCCTGGAAAGCTTCCTGGAGGCAACAGACTGGGCATGGGCTTGGAGAGGATGGGAGGTTGGGAGGATGGAAGAAGTGCAGGAGTCCATCAGCCTGTACTGGAGGCCAGGTGGAGGGAGTTTCCTCTAGAAGTGGCCGTCTTGGGCCACAGGCTTGCTGGGCCCTGCCAGTGCCACCTGCGACCCTGTCTTTCCCCTTAGGGGCATGACCCCGGGAGAGGCAGAGATCCACTTCCTGGAGAACGCCAAGAAGCTTTCCATGTACGGAGTAGACCTGCACCACGCCAAGGTACGTCGGCCCAGCCGGTGCCCCAGGAACTGCCAGGTCCCACCAGAGGACACGGGGCCCAGCGTGAATCCCCCCGACCTTTCCCTCCCTGCCTCTCATCCCTCCATTTCACAGTCTGTACTTCTCCCCACGACGGTCCCTCGTTTTCTCCCATTACTGTGTTTGGGTCGGATCTGTTTGGCCACCACTAGCTGGGGCGCCCCCTGGAGGAAAGGCATAGCCCGACATTTCTGGAGCCTGCTGGGCACCTGGAACAACCTGGCACCAAATAGAAAGCCGGTGGGGAGCAGTGAATGCCGGCGTGCGGACGCACGAGAGGAAGAGCGAAGGAGAGGGTCGTCCACTGTCCCTGGGCTCCGGTGGGGCCCCCCGGCCCCTGCGAACGGGAGGCTGGGCTTCAGGCTGCTTCTCGTGCAGGATTCGGAGGGCATCGACATCATGCTCGGCGTCTGCGCCAACGGCCTGCTCATCTACCGCGACCGGCTGAGGATCAACCGCTTTGCCTGGCCCAAGATCCTCAAGATCTCCTACAAGAGGAGTAACTTCTACATCAAGATCCGGCCGGGGGAGGTGAGCTGCCGCTGCTCGCTGGAGTCGGCTGGAGGGTGGGCCCCTGCGCCGGGTCTGGGTTTTGTGCCCAGGATCCATGGGCGGGCAGGCGCGGAGATATCCCTTTCCTGTTGAACACTTCACATCTGAGATGTGTGCCTGCACACATGCACACACAGATACACACAGACATACAGACATGTACACAGATAGACACTCACAAATGTGCACAGATCCAAACACACACAAATACACACAGACACACCAGTGATAGATATATGTGGAGTGGTGCACAGATATACACACATGTATGCACAGACACACAAGTGCACAGATAAACTTAGACACACAGAGTTACGCAACACAGATATAGACATACAATACAGTTGCATACACAGAGACACAGACAAATACGAAAGTACATAAACACAGATACACAATCACGGCTACAGATATACATAGACACACAGAGGTCCACACGGACACAGTTACAGACACACACATGCACACGGATGTACACACAGACACACACAGATACACAGGCACAGACACACAGACACATACACAAACATTCACCCACACAGACACACACAGGCAGGTGCAGCCAGGCACACGCAGACCCGCACGAGCGCACAGACACACCGATAAAAGTGTCTGTTCCTGGTGCACCTCTGTGCGGCCCTGTTCACAGCTCCGCTTCCATAGCGGGTCCTTGTGTGTGGGCATCCTAAGACACAGACCATGGCCGCAGGCACACAGGCCGGACAGTGGCCTGGCCTCCATCTCACCCCTCCTGAGCCCAAATGGCTCTAGCTCTAGACAGAGACCACTGGCCCCCATAGCCCTCCTCACCTGCCCCCTGCGATGTCCTCCCCACAGTTCTCCTGACTGGTCTCTACAAACCCCCTCACCTGCACGCTTCAGTGTCCTCCTCACCAGCCTCCTGCCTCCATGGCCACCAGGTCTCGGTCCCCATAACCACTAAAGAGCGCTTAAAAGCCACCCGTCCCCCTTCCGTCAGATTATGGCAGACCCACCTCCCCTCCCTTCCCAGAGCGCCTTTCCTGGGCCAGAGAGAAAGTACAGATGCTAAGCTGCTTGCCTTCATGTGGTTCTCTCTGTTTCGACCCCAAGCACTGCATACATTCTCCCAAGCTCCCCCAGGAGTGATCCTGAGTCCCGAGCCAGGACTAAACCCTGAGTATCTCCCAGTGTGAACCAAAACAAACGAGAGGGCCCCTTTCCCACCACAGCTGGTTTAAGCCCACTGGGAGGCGCCTTCCTCTCTCTGCCTCGGCCACACTGCCCCCTGCCCACTGCGCTCTGGCTCTTTGGCCTGCTCCCAGATCCCTGAGAAAACCCAGGGCCTTCCCACCTGGAGCCCTTTACTCCTGATGTGCCGCTTCCTGAAACCCTCTTCCTGCCATCCCAGCTGGGCGCTTCCTCCCCATCCTTCAGATCTCGGTTCCAAAGCTTCCCTGCCCCCTTCCCCACAGCACCCAGCCCTCTTCGTCAAGCCCACATGGCTCCACGCCATTACTGGGAATCGCTTATGCCTCTCAGAGCCCCAGGGCCTCCTGCCTCAGTCGCCTGGTGGCTGCGTGCTTGCTCTGCACCAGCCATGGAACAGAACCGGGGCTTGTCCCCTTGAGTAAATGCACGCATGAATGAATGCACGCGTGTGTGAGCAGGCAGATGTGGCGTGGCGGTGAGAGAGGCCGGGCCCGACTTTTCACCCGGCCTTCTTGCTTGGCAGTACGAGCAGTTCGAGAGCACCATTGGCTTCAAGCTCCCAAACCACCGGTCAGCCAAGAGGCTGTGGAAAGTCTGCATCGAGCACCACACCTTCTTCCGGTGAGCCTGGCCCTGGGGCGGGGCAGTGGGGGTGGTAGCAGGTATGTGTGTGTGGGTGCTCCCAGGGGCTCTAGGAGAGGCTGCTCACCCCCACCCCCAGCCTCTCCCTGGCTAGCCCCAGGCATGTTGGGGGCCAGTGGGCCAGTGGGGTGCAGGCCTGATCCCTCTCCTCCTCACCACCCTCTCCCCTGCAGGTTGGTGTCCCCTGAACCCCCACCCAAAGGCTTCCTGGTGATGGGCTCCAAGTTCCGGTATAGTGGGAGGACCCAGGCCCAGACGCGCCAGGCCAGTGCCCTCATCGACCGGCCTGCGCCCTTATTTGAGCGTTCCTCCAGCAAACGGTACACCATGTCCCGCAGCCTTGATGGAGGTGAGCCTCACGATGTGGGGGAGGGGGATGCCCAGGGCAAAGATGCTCTGCCGGGTCAGTACCCAGTATGGAGGCTTGACCACACCTGACACCTGGGCAGCTCAGGAACAGGGGCACAGGGGCTCAGCCAGCCGCCAGCATCATTCCCGCCAGGATGAGACCCCACCATGCTTTGGGCTTCCTGGGACCTCCCTGAGATGTTGTTGCCCTTTTGGGGTTCCAGATTCAGCTTGGTGGTATTTTGGGTCTCCTGTCCAAGATGCTTAGAAATTACCAGATCCTCACTGTCTGTGGAGGGCACAAACTGTACCCCTAGCCAGAGAGGAGGCTGTTCTTCTGGTTCCTTTTGACCAGAACGTGAGTTGAGGTCAGCCACATGGTGCTCTCTGCTGCCCTCACTCTGTTGGGCTGCTGAGAGCCCCTTGTGTCAGCAAGGATTGGCCCTGTATGTCCGGTTACATATCAGGGCTTCTGAAAATAAGGTTCATAAACTACATCAGAATCAACGATGAGTTTGTTAAACCCAGATGGCCAGGACTCCCCACCCCTCTCCCTTGGGATCTACATATCAGAGTTTGTGGGAGATGTTCAGAAGTCACACGGAGTGCTGGGGTGAATGGATCTGAGTTAGATCTCAACCTGGACACTCCGTAGCTGCTCTGTGGGCATGGGAAGTAATCAGTATGGATGCATGGAATGATGGGAAAGTAATCAGTATGGATGCATGGAATGATGGGAAAGTAATCAGTATGGATGCATGGGATGGATGGATGGATGGATGGATGGATGGATGGATGGATGGACGGATGAACGGATGGATGGGTGGATGGATGGACAGATGGGTTGGTGTATGGATGGATGGTTGGATGGGTGGGTGGGTGGACAGGTGGATGGGTAGACAGATGGGTAGATGGATGCAGAGATGGATGGATGAATGGATGGACAGATGGATGGATAGATGGATGGATGGATGGATGGATGGGAGGCTTGAGCAGCTTGACTCCTGTCTCCTCTTCTACTAGATAAAGAGTGCCTGCTTCTGGTGTTAGAGAGAGAACTAAACAAGTTTATGCCTACACAACGCCCAGAACAAGTCTCATATATCCTGGAACCTTAACAAATTATAGTCAGTTACAAACGGTTTTTTGTTATCACATAATAAACTGCTGTTTTTAGGCTTCTGAGGGGTAGCTTAACTTTTAGATTTCTGAGGGGCAGCTTAGAGGTGAAAGGAGGGATGGTAGACCCACCCGAACTCGGGCAATTCTGAGGGCGAGGGTGTGTGGCCCTTTCCTTGGTGCTCATTGAACAGGAGACTAAAGCACATCCCACGGGGGCCCAGCCACATGGGCAGAGGGCAGAGTGCTGAGTGCCCTGGGGAGAGAGAATCGTCTCTCTCCAGGGCTTTGCAGCGAGGGTGCTGGTGGGGCAGGGTTGGAAGGATCCCCATGCATCTGGGAGTCTAATGAGTCAGTGGGGAGGGGAGCACTGTCTCAGGATCCCCCGGGCTGTGTTTGGAGAGTGTGAGGTTCTGCACAGGCCAGTCTGGGGCCGAGGAGCCACCTTAGTCTCCTAGAGAGAAGTGAAGGGCGAACAGTGAAGCAGCACCTGGACTGTCTCCCTCTGCCGCCACCTACACACACACACACGCACGCACGCACTCACAGGAGCTGATAGGCGGCTTCACCCTGATTCCCTGAGAGCTCCCAGCAGGGACACAGCCTGCCGCCTGTGGCCTGGGATCTGTGGCAGGGGACAGCATCAGCATCCGGTCTAGTCATCGGTGCCCAGTGCTCTGGTGGGCAGCAGCAGATGAAGGCTTGCCTTGAGCCGACCACTCTATCCCGTCCTTCCCTCATGGCCTTTGCTGAGGGAAGTGGGTGCTGATTGTTGCGGGAACTGAGGCCCAGACGGGCTGTGGAACTTACCTGAGGTCACATGACCAACATCTGGCTTTGAGATTTGAAGCCCCCTCCCATCTGCGCAAGCCCTGGGCCAGGCCGCTTCTCCCCTCCTGGGGCTGTTTTGGGGCTGTGAGGAAGCCACTCTTGGGTGAGGCAGCACTGGCTCCCCGGGAGGACCCTCACCTGGCCCCCTGCTGTCTCTGACCCTTCAGCAGAGTTCTCCCGCCCGGCCTCCGTCAGTGAGAACCATGATGCAGGCCCAGATGGTGACAAGCGGGAGGAGGATGGCGAGTCAGGGGGTCGGCGGTCAGAGGCGGAGGAGGGCGAGCTCAGGACGCCCACCAAGATCAAGGAGCTCAAGGTAGGAGCCTGGCTTTCCCCTACCCTCTGACCTGGGGTTGGGGGTCGTCCTGAGTCCCGCCTTGACCTTCAGGTGACCCCAAGTTGGGGGAGGGTATCAACACCTGGCCAGGGGACATGCTGACCTGTGCCTGTGTCCCCCACTTGCCCCATTCCCTGGGGAAGCTGTTCCCAGAGGAGTCCAGTCCTCTGTCACTCCCAACTCCCCACATGCCTGTGACCTGATCTGCACAGCCCCCTCTTACCCGTGCCCCATGGGCCCTCTCAGAAGGAGGGGGGTCCACCTGCTGCACCACCTAACCCTCACCTGAGCACACATTCATCAGGCATGTACTGCCTCAGATCCCCTGCCTGCCAGCAGACATGCCACATACGTACATATGTCATACATGCACGCCCACACGTGTGCACACACGTACATCTGCTTATACTCACACACGTGCACGTATGACACATCAACACAGGCCACAGTGTACATATGCATGCACACATGTCATCACATGCACACCCTCACCTGTACACACAATCACATATACACACCTGCTTATACTCACGTGCACACCTGACACATCAACACAGGCCACAGTGTATTTACACATGTGACACATGTCAGAGTACATGTGCAGGTGTGTGCACATGAACATCTCACCAGTGCATTTGTGGCATATCAACCCGTGTCATGGTATACACACATGTGCACGGCCCACTGTGTGTCCCCTTGTATGTGTGTGATGCATTGACACAGGTCACGATGCACACACATGCACGTACATGGGCACGTGGGGCTGGACCCTCCCCATTGTCCAAAGCACTCTCTGACACAGCAGCCAGAGCCCTCATGTCCCTCCTGGCATCCACTCCTGACCCAGTGTTCCATCTACACACCCCTTGCCGCACACCCCTAGCCCCGCGGGGGGGCCCCCAGCTTCCCTGGCCGCTGCCTCTTGGGTGAGGGCTCCGGGCTGGGCCAGTCGCGGGGCCTCAAAAACCGTTGGTTCTACTGACCCTGCCGGTTCCTTCCGTCCTCCCACGCCCCGCCAGCCGGAGCAGGAAACCACGCCGCGACACAAGCAGGAGGTACTGCATGGCCATCCCAGCCTGCCCGGCCCTTCACAGCCCGTCTCATGTGTCCATCCCAGACCCAGTCCCGAACTGTCCCACATCCGCGCCGTCTCTCCCACTGTTCCCCTCCCTCTCCCTGCTCCCCCTGCTCAGGCCCCACCCACCACCCTTTCCATCCATCAGCCCCACCTCTGCGGACCCCTCAGCTTGCTTCCCATCAGCAGGTCCCATCCTGCTTCCATGGAGCCCTCCCCTCCCCCACAGCCCTCTACACTCATCTCCGGCACCACCATTTGCTCCCATCTCCATGTCATCTGTGCCCCATGTCTTCACCCAGGTTTCCTGCTGTCTCTGTCGGGTCCCAGGTGTGGGCATGGGGATGGAACCTGGGAGAACATCCGGTTCTCCCCAGACTCCCTGGGGCGGGGCCTGCGGCCACTCTTACCTCTGCCTCCCCCCCGCTGGGCCCACTGGGCCTCCTTCCCTCTCAGTGTCCAGCTTCGTTCAACAACTGATGGCAAAAGATGTGGGGTTCTTGGGGGCTGGAATAATAGCATAGCGGGTAGGGTGTTTGCCTCGCACGTGCCCATCCCAGGTTCGATCCCAGCATCCCATATGGTCCCCTAAGCACCGCCAGGAGCAATTCCTGAGTGCATTAGCCAGGAGTAACCCCTGAGCATTGCCAGGTATGACCCAAAAAGAAAAAAAAAGATGTGGGGTTCTCTCTGGGAAAGGGAAAGGGCCATGGTGGGGTCAAAGAGGGCCCTGGCCTTGGACCCTGACCATGATCTGCATTGCGACCGCTGTTCTGCCCCCGACCCTTGGGGGACCTTGGGGAGGTACCCTCAGCCCCGGAACCCTCACCCGCACAGCAGGGCATCGGTACGAATTTCTCCCATGGCACTGAGCTTCCAGGGTGCCAGCCTACAGGGCTCCTGCCAGCTGGGGACACCCCATGCCTGCCAAGCCCATGACAGATTTAGGAGGGAGAACCCCCAATCCCAATGATGGGTCCTTGGCACCCAGCCGGCAGCTGTGCCAGGCTCCATGGGCTCAGACGCCTCAGCTGCCATCCTCAGCGCCCCGCCGGTGCTGGCTTCCCCTGAGGGCACACAGGGTCACCAGGGTTGGGCCCCCAGGAGCAGACTCCAGGCTCTGGGCCAGCTTATCTTCCAGACAGTCCGTAAACCTCCTCATCTGACTTTGTAATCAGCCAATATTTTTCCAACTGAGGTGATGGTGCCCAGACAGCTATACAGAGAGGGCCCGGGCTGCCTGCCCATCCCCATCCCAGCCCCTGGGTAGAGGCTGGACCTCTGCTGGGCAGAGGCGGGTCCTCTGTAAACGGAACTTTGCACAGTCCTACCATTTACCAGGAAGCTCCCCCACCTCTGTGCTCACACCCAGCCCGAGGTCGTCCTCTCTTCTCCCTGGTCTCCCAGCACCCCCCCACCCGAACACCCCACAGCACCCTCATTTCTGCCCGGTTAGGTGTCCCCTGCCACAATCTGCTCTGCAGTCAGGGCCCACAGATGCCGGGGAGATACGGCAGGCCAGCAAACCGGGGCGCACAGCGAGAAGGGGGGACATGACCCTGCCCTAGCTCTTGGCCTTGTGGGTGCCCCCTTTATCCAGATGATGTGGCTTTAGGGACATCTTGACTCAGCCCTGAGCAGGGGCAGCCCTGAGCTGGAAGGAGCCCTGCTGCACCCATGGGAGATGACGGCTGGCCCAGGAGAGCCCAACGACTCTGACTGTGGGCTCCTAAGCAGAGGGACTCCCCGTCTGGGTCCTGAGCACCCCAGTCCCTGGGCTGACCGGAAGTCTCTCTTGGCCCTTTAGTGCCTCGGTTGAGGCTTCCAGCTCTGTCCAGGTGAGGCAGGGCAGCAAGATAAGGGCAGTGACCGTTGTTGCCGCAGGTCAGCTGCCCAGCTGCCCCCAGCCCTCACCCTGCGCCCAGCGTCCCCGCTCGGGGGCTCACCGCTGTGCCCTCTGCACCCCTAGTTCTTAGACAAGCCGGAGGACGTGCTGCTGAAGCACCAGGCCAGCATCAACGAGCTCAAGCGGACGCTGAAGGAGCCCAACAGCAAACTCATCCACCGGGACCGGGACTGGGAGCGCGAGCGCCGGCTGCCCTCCTCGCCCGCCTCCCCCTCCCCCAAGGGCACCCCCGAGAAAGCCAGCGAGGTAGGCTTCAGGGGCGGGGTGGCTGTGCGCCTGGACATGGCTTCCGGCCTTCGCTTCTCTGCCCCACCCCCACATTGCTGCCAGAAATGGTGGGGTGGAAGGTGGGTGGAGAAATGTTTTAAATCTGGGAAGATTGAATCACACACACACACACACACACACACACACACACACGCACGCACGCACACACACACATGCCAAAAAATGCTGAGGACTCAAAAAATTTTTATTTATCAAAAAGAAAAGTAGGATTTAGTTCAGATGCCAGAAGGCAAGAAACACGGGTTGCACCACTAGCACCTCTGTGTTAGAGCCCCTGGCTCCAGGGCACACCTCAATGTGTGGGTTCGTGGGGCCCCAGAACCTGCTTTCCCACACACACACCCCTTCTCCATTATACCCTGGCAGAAGAATGAGCAAGTCCTCAGCATATTTTAGTCTGGCTGATGGGACAGTCGGGAGTGAGCTGGAGGGACAAGCAGGGGTGAGCCACTGGTGGGACACATGGGCCATGGGACAGCAGCTGTGAGCCACTCACTGGTGGTATATCAGGGTCCTGGAACAGCCGAGTGTGAGCTGTCGGTGGCTTGTGCTGGCCATGGGGGCAACCCGGTGTGAGCCACCAGTAGTATGCACAGTTCATGGGACAGCCACTGGTGGGATGCATGGGTTATGGGACAGGCAGCTGTGAGCCACCAGTGGTACACAGGGTGATGGTACAACTAGGTATGAGCCATCAGTGGCACACAGGGTCATGGGACAGCTGGGTGTGAGCCACCAGTGGTACACAGGGTCATGGACAGCTGGGTGTGAGCCACTGGTGGTCCATGCCATCATCAAGGCACTTTCAGCAGGTGCCCCAGCGAGTCTCAGGCACTGCTACATGGTTCCAGCCCATCCCCTAAACTGCAGCTGTCTGTGTCGACCGTGAGAAGACGAACTGGGGTGGGTTGGGGGCGTCTCTCCTGGAAGACCCCTCAGTCCCTCGGGTGGAGCAGAGGTTCCCCACAGCGAGATGAGACCTGTGGCCATTGCTTCAAGGAAGGACCCCCCCCCCCACACACACACCCGCCTTTCCGCGCCGCAAACACGTGTGGGGGTGTTTTCTCAATTGAATGCAAGATAAAGATAGGACTTCTTGAGAAGCCCCGTATTTATAACCCCCAAGCTGTTATTTTTAGGGCTGCTAACTCTTGGCAGGATTCATCCCCATTCCTACGGAGGTTTTTTCTCTCTAGCACTGCTGCTCACTGGTCTCAAACCCCAACTGTGGTCTAGACATCTGCTTTCTGGCCAGTTCTCGCGTCCTAGCCCCACTGTCCACTGCCAGCCAGCCAGATCCCTCCCAGATGCAACCCTGCCCCCACCTCCACCCCCCCACACACACCCGGGGGGCACTTACTGACCATTTCGCGGGCAGGTGACTGCACCGAAGGTCACCTGCGCACAGCCTCCCTTCCAGAGCTGGCTAGAACCTGCTTGGTTCAAGCTTGGCGTTTTAAAGAAGGGGACTGGGGAAACCAAGGTATCCAATGGGGAAGGCCTTGTGACCTGTTAGATGGCTGAGTGCCACCTCCGCACCTGTGGAGGTTTGGCCTGCGTGCAGTGATGCAGCCTTGAAAGCCAAGCCAGTGGTTGTGTGAGCACTGCGACTCCGGCCGTCCCTGTAACCGGGGCCTCTTCCAGGGAGGCTGCCATGGGGACAGTCTAGCCGGTGACTCAATTAGGGGCCATGGAAAGGGAGGAAATTTCTGCTTCTGGGGGCACCTCTGGCACAACCAGGACCCTCAAGACCTCCCAGGGCTGGACTGGAGTGATAGCACAGCGGGTAGAGCGTTTGCCTTGCATGCGGCTGATCCGGGTTCAATCCCCGGCATCCCATCTGGTCTCCCCAGCACTGCCACGAGTAATTCCTGAGTGCAGAGTCAGGAGTGACCCCTGAGCATCGCCGGGTGTGACCCAAGAAACAAAATAAGTAAATAAATAAATAAAGCCTCCCGGGGGCTGGGCCACGGGGGCTGGTGTAGTGACCAACTGCACATGCCCCACCCCATTCTGCCCTTGAGCGAGACTCAACCCTGGTGGCCTCTACTTAGTCCCAGGGTGGGCCAGTGTCGAGGTCTGGCAGTGGCGGAGGCAGGGCGGAGCTCCGCTAGCTTGTGTTCTGAGCAGCCTGGCTTGAGGGGAGCCCCACCTGCTGGCCACAGCTGGAAGTGCTAGAAGAGATGTTAAGGAAAATCTCTCTTTTATCCCACCCGCGCCCTCTAGTGGCGTAGTCGCTTGCTGGAAGGAGTTGGTCCAGGAGCTCACTGGGGAGCGAGGGATGGGGTTTCAGCGGCCTGCACACCCCACTGGCATCTAGAGATGCTTGAAGATTGTAGAGGAAGGGAGGAGTCCTTAGCCGAGGGCTGGACCGGGACTAATGCGCTCACAGCTCTGAGCCTCGCTGGGGAACAGTGATCAAAGGGGGTCCCCACCCACAGCCCCTCGAGAGGGCTGGTGGAAAGTTTGAGGGAACCTTGGGTATAAAAGCACTTCAGAGTGCTGACAAGGCGGAGGTCTGGATCCGATATGATCTTTGTGGGGGATTCCTTCAAGGATAGGTCGCTCAGGGTTTCTGTATATTTGGAGGTGCCTCACCTGGACCAAGAGAAAACTAGTGGGAGCTTAACCCAAAAGAGGTCCCCCCCAAACTACAAAGAAGTTCCCATGGGCTGAGCCCAGGTTTTGCGTTTCCTTTTTCAAGCCAACTTTGTCAACGGGGCCGATACCCAAGCTGCAGAATTGCACGGGATTCAAAAGCTCGGGCTACACCAGGAGTCAGAGCTGGGGGTGGGCTCGGGGGGTGGGCTCAGGGTGGGCTAGGGCATCCTGCGCTCCCGCCTCTACAGCTCCATCCTGTGTACTCCCCGTGGCAGCGCCATTCACCGACTCTGTATGTCTCTCCACCTCTTCTCTCTCCCTGCCTCCCCCTCTCTTCCCTCCCTCTCTTTCCCTCCGGCCTTGGGGCCTCCCCTGCAGGCCCTGCAGGCCCAGGATACCTCGCGGGACTTGGGACCTGAGTCTGGGATGGCCACAGGCCTGGAAGTGCTCACTCAGAAAAGCCTCGCTGCATCTCCTGAGGTTACTGGTGGTCAGGGGCAGACCCTTTCTCTGGGGCTAGGGGGTGGGGGCTGACTGCCCTGCAGGTGGGTCGCCATGAGCTTCCCAGCCCCAGAGATGCCTCGTTCATGGCGCCTCCAGGAGGCCAAGACTGAAACCCTTCTGGAAAGGCCGCCTTTGAAGGGCAGACGTGGTCCAGATTCTCAGCTCAGGATGTGTGTGTGTGTGGGGGGGGGGGGGGGCAGGGGAGGGCTGGAATCTGAAGGTCATCACCCTCCACCTTCATCTTCTCAGACCCCCCTCAGCTCTCATCTGTCCCCAGCGAGGCAGATGTGCGTTCTTTCTCCAGCAGCGCCCTTGGCATTATTAGAGAGGTTGTGCAGGCAGTTGTCCTGCATATGGAGGGCGTGGCTGTGGCAGAGTGCTGGCTCTGGGCATTTCTTGTGCCCCTAGGAACACTGCAGGCCAGCTGTCCCACGGGGCCTCGGGGGTAGCGTCCTTCTCTCTCTGCTGGCCGAGTACTCAAGGGGGCGTCAGTCTTTGTCATGGCAGAGAGCCTGCTGGAGCTGTTGGGGTCATGTGTCAGCCAGGACAGTGACAGTGCAGCTCTCTGAGTTCTTCCAAGTGAAGAAAGATGGTGGCCACCGTTGAACAAGCCTGCTCTTGAGAGACGCTGGACAGGGTATCAACAGTCTCCCAGAGGGAGGGAAAACAGTCCTGCCTGGGTGCTCAGAGGGGCTCCTGGAGCCAGGCCAGGTGACCGTCCTGTCCTTGAGGGTGTGGCCCCCCTAACAAGGCTCCTTGGTGGCTTCCTGAGCCCCTCTGCCCTCAGCTCCTGCTGTTCTTGTCTTCTGTCCTCTACTGGGAAGTTTGCAGACTGAATTAACATTCATAGAGGCCCCTGTTCTGCCCCCTGGCACCCCTGGACCTCCTCAGCTCAGCCCCACCCCTGCAGAAAGTTTCTCCCAGGGCCTGGTTTCTGACCGGTCCCTCCCTCTGGGCCCTTCTTCAGACTGCCTGTACGGATCCGGGACCGGAACTTGTCCCAGAGCTACAGACAGGGCCCGGGCAGCCCAGTACTGGCAGAGCTGCCTGTCCGGAGGTGTCTGCGGGTCCTTCTGGGTCTCTGGATGCGAGGATGGGGGGGGGGGGGGGGGGGGGGGGGCTTTGCATCTTGCTGCAATGTCTCCAGCTGCCTGTAGGGGGCGCACGAAGCAGGCACTAATGGAGCAGGGCTGAGGGAAGTGCCCACATCCCCACAAATGGCTGCATTTCCTGTGGGTGCATCAGGGCTGCCTCGACAGGGTGCCAGCCAGTCTTCTCTGTTTTGTCCTGACTTTTCTTCTCAGCAGCATATCTGCTTCTGGTTGCAGGAAGCAGAGCCGCCTCTTCCTCCCTCCCTGCCCACCCAGCCGTCTGCAAGGCCCTCCCCTAGGGATGCCCATCTCTCCTGTAGACAGGGATCACAGTACCCATTCCGCAGGTCTCCACGGGGTTAAGTCCAGCCACTTAGACCAAGAGCTGGGGCTGCTTGGCACAAAGTGACCAGGTCTCCCTCTTTCCCTCCCAGTCTCCCCATTCTGTGCCAACCCCTAGCCCACTCAGACAAGTTCCTAGGAACCTATTTGCAATTAAGCGTCAGAGCAGGAATGTTCCAGAAGAGGCCTCCCTGAGCACACCTGGCTGCCATCATCAGACTGACGGAGTGAGCTCAAGCTAACGTGGGCAGTTCCCGAGGCAGGAGAGCAGAGAGCCTGGCTTCACCTCCCAGCCCTCCACTCTGCTTCAAGGGGGGCTGTTGAGCATCTCAGAGTTAGCAACTTGGAGTAAAGGCTGTGGGTAACCAGAGTAAGACTCAGGACCAGCCCCTGGCCTCAGCAGAGCCTTTGTCCATTCCC